CTTGACCACATTCGATGGGATTAAAGAGAAGAACATATCCTGTACGACCACGGGGATGCTGCGATCATTTTCCTCGAGTTTTTCCTTTTCTTTTTCATCAAGCGGGGTAGTGACGACGACCGAGTACTGTTTGCTCCAGACGAGGCCCATCATGATACAAGACAGTGTGATGGATACGAGAGTGGTGATGATGTAGTATCCGACAGTCCATCGAGCGAGAAGAGAACCCCCGTTGCTCATCTCGCGGAGTCTGGTCACAGCGAGCAACATAGAGCAGACGATCAAGGGAAGGACTGCAACTGGTCAGCGGCTGACTCTTGGTAGAAGAAGCTATTGCTAGCTTCAAGGCTACAGGAAACTTACCAACTGCCTTAAGGGCTCTTAGCCACATGTTGCCAATGATACCGACAAGGATGGGAGCAGCCTCCGGAATATTGTCGACCTGGGTAGCGACGACCACGCCGATGGCGATAGCGAACAGGGCAGCCACGATGATTTGAAGAGCTGAGCCGGGTTCTTTGAAACTATGCCACCACGGCTTCTTTACAATCTCTTCCTGGGCATGGTCGTGAGGAATGTCGCTGCTGGAGTTGGTAGGCACCTGTACCGGGTGCGAGGAGACATCCTTGAACTCATCTTTGGTGGCCATTGCAAGAACAGCAAGCCTAGCTTGAGTTTCAAAGACTAAAGACAAGACAGGACCGTGGAGAAGCTTTTGCAAGAGACGGAATGGAGAAGGGGACTGGCACTACAATTCCTGGTCAACCTCAAGAGCATACCTCAGCTTTTATACCTCATGGCACTCTCTATCGCCAAGCCAAGCTGAGTACATGGGAGCAGACGTTATGGAGCATCAAGAGATTCTGTCAGGAGAGTTACACCGGTGCATGGATGAAGTGCCCAGAGAATCGCGTGCCGAAACCAGCAAAGATGCGACACATCAAAAGAAACACTCGAGCTTGGCCTGGCTAAGAAGAGAAGGTGAGTATTACGAAATTCATTCTCCGTCGCCAAGACAGCTAACCTCAACTCCTTGGTCTTGATAACCTGGTAGCTCGGGTAAGCCGACTCAGAGTCAATTGTTGGCAGACATTGTGGAGAAGACCAAGCAGTACTGATTGATTGAGAGTTAGCATTTGCCCGAGGAGGCGACGATGCCAAGAGAAAGTGCAAGCGGACGAGTTGCTCGAAAGAAGAGCCAAGAGAGCCAAGAAGTCGAGGCACTATTCCAGCCCATAACATGTTGTACATTCTCCCCAAGCCAAGCCGCCACACACGACAGAGTACCATGCATTACTAGGGTGAACCCCATGCCGCTGGTGATGGGGATTGCACAGACGGGGCATGAGTGTTGGTGTTATCTGGCCAAGCACGAAGTACATTCTAAGATGTTGCATGTTTTACGAAATACCAAGAGTGATAACGCAGTGCCGAGACTTGCTCAAGTCCCGCGTATCTCAACCAGAGATAAGGTGCCAGGGATCTATCTGGCTCAATGGTTGATGCTGGAGATAACAATTATCCAACAATCATAGCTTACTACGTGAAGCAACATCACGTCAATCAACAAACCACCAGAGGCGGGTGAGCGATGTGGCGTGCTTAGGCTACTCGACCGCGATACTATAAACGCTGGATGACTAACGGCATTACCTGGTGGCTTAACTCAATTCTCGTACCTTAAACGGTAAATGATTTGTCTCACCATCATGCACTCTTTGGACAAGAGCACACCACGATAAGAGCTCTAGGGAAGTACGGAACGAATGAGAAGGTACTTAGGGCCGGTAGGTTTAATGATTTGAGCAACGGCGTTGTCAATACAGGGCTACGGTACTCTTGCTCCCGAAGCACCCCCTCACCAATTCTGAATCAGCGGTCTCCAACAAGCCCGAGAATGGCAGAATGGATTTCACGTACGTCTCCACCTCAGGAGTTTAAGCAAGGGTCTCGGAGTGCCTGTCAAGCCTGTTCATGTTTCCCCCAGCCGGGGGTGGAACTCTGAGCTGAACCCTGGCCTCGTTTCCCTTGCTGCCAAATTTGGGGGTTGTTCTCCGTGGTTTTTGCTCCAGCCGCGCTATTCTGGAGTCCATTGGGAGATTGTTCAGGAAGTCTCTGATTCCCCTGGCGGCTAATTTTTGGCCTGACTTCCTCACCAGCTATCGAATAACTATCTCTCAGCATCACAGTGCAATAGGCTTTTATGGATATATCCTGTGCCCCGTTCTCTTGGCTGACCGTGTCTTGGATCATGTGGACGATTGCTACGTTCCATCGAGGATCCATGCCACCCATTGCCTCGGAACGATCTCATGCAAAAGCAAGAATTTCAACTCCTTAATCCAGTTCTAAAACGTACGCTGTAAGGTAATATTGTGATTGTACAGAGGATGGTGTCCTTTTTTCGAAGGCAGCGTCAGGAGATAACCGGGCATGACATCCTTACAATTGCCGCATGAGGCGATTAAGCATAACCGGACTCAGGTTCCGAACGAATCAATCATCGCAGAGGCGGCGGGAGGTAGAAACAGGCAACCTGTATCCTATCCTACGCGCTAAATAGCCTGTTTAGCTTCCGTGCAAACGTTGCTACCCCAAAAATGAAAAGGTTCTGGAAACTTACTCAGAAGAGTCAACTACGCCTTATGTCGACATTTTGGGGGGGCACATGTATTTTGGACAATACGACAATGGGCAGTCCCCCTCTCGAGCGGTGCACGCCAACCTCAAGATTCCGATACCTCGTTTCGTCTTGCTCCAGCTCAGCGCTGTATTCATCACAACGAGGGATATTTGCGAATGGCTAGGCTATGGGTGTTGGGGCCTATCCCTATATAGCTCAATGTCCGGCCGATGCTACGGCCAACGTTGGACACGGGCCTCTTCACTTTGGAGAAAAAGGGTATTTTCCCAGGCAATTGAAGCGAATATGCCTTCACCCCACAGAGCATCGACTTATTACGTTTGAATGTCCACTTGAGCCCACTGAATAGAATAGGTGAATAGGAAGGATGGCTTGACTCATTGTCAAACTCATCCGACCTAAAGCTATGAAATGGCGCATCAGTGCATCCTGTTTGTCTCCGCGAAACATACCTACACTGGGGTACTGACGGACGATGGAGAAAGGCAGCGTGAAGGCATTTGATACGATAGCAAACAGAACAACTTTGAAATTCAGGATCTCGACTGCGGGCGTCAGTGTGCTTGGCGAGTAGTGAGATTGGGAACTGATCGTTCCACAAAAGGCATGTGCGAAAGTCTTGGAAAAGTCTTGGGAGACAATTAGATAGAAAGGCTTGGAGGAGGATGGTTGGGGAGTTGGAAAGCTTGGTATTGGGGTCGTGATCGCAGGCCTTCAAATTGCAACGCCAATCCGCTTATACCCGTCTCTGGCCTGTGTCTCTTGCCCCTTCCCCAGACAAAGGCCAAGAAGATAAGACGATGCTGATTGGATCCCCCGCAATGAAGGGAGGTTTCTTGTTCCTTCTTAGATGGCAAGTTGGAACTGTACGTAATGGAATACCAACAATCAGCGACTTCTCCGCAATTTCCTGGAGTTGAGACAAGCTCGGACATGAATGTGGAGGAGAAAGCTTAGGAAAAGCGCCTTTTCGTGTAAGACGAATGTGGGTTGTCGTTTATTTAATTATAAGGTTCTCGTTTACGACAAGGAGGATATGGGCAGTGTGGCAGTCCATTAGGTACTGCTTCCCCGTGATGATTTGACCAACAAATAGGACTTTTGATGCCCTGGCTAAGGTAGATTGCTCCCGCCTTGTAACCGGAACTCAGTAACTCCCTACTGATTCCCGTCGAATTCCCTCTCGCCTCTGGCGGATCCATAACCAGACCACGCGAGCTGGCATGGGCTTTGGCCAGGTTGGTACATTGGAGGGGGAAGCCAGCCGACTTGACTGAGGCCCATCCATAACTGCGCTCATTTCAACGTGGACCTGGCAGATCTAGTCGGACCATCCTTTGTCACCATTGTTTGACTAGGAGATTCGCGAACAGGTCTTGGCTAAATTCAGGTAGTTTGGCTTCTGCTGTTTTTGTTCGTTTTCCTGAAGGACCGTAATGATTCTCTGTCAAGGGTATCTTCGCCCATTGTCAATCATATGCAGGTGACATGACTAAGGGAGGCATGGTCCCGTTTGTTAAGATATGTGATATATCTCTAGATCACGTTCTCTAGGGGAGAAGATGAGAGAAGCTTCGGGTTCTATCTCAGTAATACGCAGCTGCGAGTATGACAATGGGTACCTAGGTATGTAGGTGAAGAGTGGCCAAGACAATTACGTAGGCTTAATTATCTGTGGAGGTGACCAATTTGAACTGGAATTGTCCCCCATTATTTTGAAGGTTTTGAGGGGCAACGCACGGGCTGACGGCACAAACGGCGCATTGAACGCTTGACTATTTTTGGATTAGCTCCTGTTTCTCTGCCGTATACCTAGGTACTTAGGTATTCACCTTGCGCTGCGAGGAGAATGGAAGGTGCAGGCAGTCAAGTTGGTCAATATTGGGCAGGTACTGAATAAAGAAACGAAACAGAAACAGAAGCTCACTCGGGTACTAAGACACGGGCTTTTCTTCTCTAACATCACTCTTTTACTCTCACAGCAGTCAACATGGCTTTTATATGACCAGAACATGGGGCACAACAAGAAACTCGTCGCCGATATTAAATCGCATTCTGGCTGGTGACAAAGCATCATGACGAGAGAGTCATCATTTGCGACATTTGTGCGGTTTTTGGCCACGACGCAATGCTATTAAATACTGGCCGTGGAAGCGACTCGATACAGCTAGAAGTCATTAACTTTACATTTACAAAACTTAACATCATTGTTTATTCTCTCTTTTTTGGGGGCTCGCAAACGCTTGTGCTGCTCAATCACTCAAGGTGAATACGGAAACTTTCTTCACCAAGCACTTGTCATCCTATATTTCATCGCATCACAACACACAACGCTCAACTGTGAAACACTCCAAAAATGTCGTCCACAGAAACCGTTGTCACGACCTCCTATCTCCTCGGGAACCTGCACTGCCCGACTTGTGTCACTTTGATTCGCTCCCTCTTACACGATGCCTTTGGCAACAATGTACTCTGGGTTTCCCCAAATCTCGTTACATCCGTTGTTACAGTCGAGCACAAAGAGAACTCCTCGGCTTCGGTTGCCAGCATGCAAAGGGTACTTCAAGACGCTGGCTTCGAAGTCTGCGGCCTCAACACAACCGCCAGAACTGCGAATGATCTCCATCGCACCTCCCAGGTTGAAGGGGGGAGTAGCCGCGCCGCCGGGCATTCCGATGGCTGGTTGGATTCCTTCTTTCACTTTTGGCGCCCACAAGTATCACCTCTGGCGATAGAGGCCGCACGTGCTGCTCACCTCGAAAATTGTGAAGCATGTAAATCCGGGAAAATCTCCGGGAAGTCAACATCTGATGATAAGAGAGAACTGGTTCGGGTTTCTTCTGTCGTTTCCGATACCCCTACCAGACGTTCTTCCCTGCCGTATCCCCTCCAAAAGGTGGTTACAGAAACATCACCCACTCCATCATGGCGAGTTACACTCTCTGTTGGCGGCATGACATGTGCTGTTTGTGTCAACACAATCACGCAGGAGATGGAGAAGTATCCCTGGGTTACAAAAGTCGCTGTCAACCTCGTGTCCAACAGCGCAACCATCGAATACACAGATGGTGATCGAGCACAAGAGATTGTTGATGCAGTTGAGGACCTTGGATACGATGCTGCAATCGACGAGGTTGTCAATCTACAAGAGAAAAGGGTTCAGGCTGATGAGCGCGAGGTTGAAGTGAGTGTCGACGGCATATTTTGCCAGCGATGCCCAGAGCGAATCGTCACAACCCTCAAGGCTCTTGCTCCAGGTCGACTTCGAATCTTCCAGGAGCCTACCATTCAGAATCCTATTCTAAGACTCCGATATACACCCGATGCTCCTAGATTTACCATCAGGCAGATCTTGCAAGCCATTGAAGCAGCCGACGACTCTCTCAAAGCCTCCATCTACCATCCCCCCACACTCGAGGAGCGATCTCGAATTATCAGAGCCAAGCATCAGAAAGCTCTGTTGTATCGTGTGATTCTCACCCTCATTTTCGCTGTCCCTACCTTTGTTCTGGGCATAGTTTACATGAGCCTGCTGCCAAACTCCAACCACGAAAAGATGTACCTCATGGCACCTTGGGTTTCCGGACTCAGCCGCCTCGATATTAGTCTTTTCGCGCTTGCTACGCCGGTGTACTTCTTCGCCGCTGATGTGTTTCACGTACGCGCAATCAAAGAAGTTCGAACCATGTGGCGAAGGGAAAGTCGTATGCCCTTAATTCAGCGCTTTTACAGATTTGGTAGCATGAATATGCTTGTTTCACTGGGAACAAGCATAGCCTATTTCTCCTCAGTCGCACAGATGATTGCCGCAGGGGCTTCTCGGAGAGAGCATCATAAATCTAAAGCCGAGATGTATTTTGACTCTGTCGTTTTCCTGACGCTGTTCCTTCTCCTAGGAAGGCTCATCGAGGCGTACAGTAAATCCAAGACTGGCGATGCTGTCGAAATGCTAGGCAAGCTTCGTCCAACGACAGCTCTCCTCTCTGAGAAGGACAAGGCTGGGGGCCAGATCACTAGCACTGTGCCTGTTGATCAACTTGACTCTGGAGACATAATTCGGGTGCCTCATGGCGCATCCCCTGCCGCCGATGGCATTCTCGTCAGCGGAGAGACCAACTTTGACGAATCGAGTCTCACTGGAGAATCTCGACTCATCAAGAAGACTGAAGGAGACCAAATCTTTGCTGGAACAATCAACAAGGCAGCAGCCGTTACCATGCGTGTCACGGGCGCTTCTGGGCAATCGATGCTAGACCAGATCGTTCAAATTGTGCGGGAAGGTCAGACAAAACGAGCACCAATTGAACAGATCGCCGACCTTCTGACCGCCTATTTCGTTCCCGTCATCACTCTCATAGCAATCCTCACCTGGATCATCTGGATGGTTCTTGGCTTTTCAGGCAAGATCCCAGAACACGAGGAGTCCTCTGATGGCGATTTGGTAGTGTTTGCCCTCCAATTTGCCATTGCCGTTTTTGTTGTTGCTTGCCCGTGTGGCCTCGCACTTGCAGCACCCACAGCCATCTTTGTAGGCGGAGGGCTTGCGGCTAAGCACGGTATTCTTGCCAAAGGTGGTGGTGAAGCGTTTGAGAAGGCGAGCAAGATTGATTGCGTCGTTTTTGACAAGACGGGTACTCTGACCGAGGGAGGACAGCCGAAAATCACCGATTCTGTACTCTTCCCTGACACTTCGTCAAGTGAAGGGGAACGCAGCGCTTTTCTGTCAGCACTTAAGGCTGTGGAAGAGAGCAGCAGCCATCCTATAGCCAAAGCGATTGTCTCGTTCTGTGGTGACGCTCCGGCTAGTAATGTTCAGAATCTCGAGGAATTAGCTGGAAGGGGTATGAAGGCCTCATTTGAGGGCTTTGGCAATCAAGAGATGGACATGATTATCGGCAATGAACTTCTCATGCGAGAATTTTCAGTAAACTTGTCACCCCGCATCACATCACTTCTCGATACCTGGAAATCCGAAGCCAAGTCAATTGCTATAATCGCCACGAAGGCATCATCTACCGATGCCTGGACACTTACGGCAGCGTTGTCCATCTCGGATCCGATCCGTCGTGAGACTATTCCTGTCATCCGAGCGTTAATTTCTCGTGGCCTTGAGGTATGGATGTTGTCTGGTGACAACGTCACCACCGCCCGCGCGGTGGCGCAGCGCGTTGGCATACCGTCATCTAATGTCCTGGCTGAGGTTCTCCCATCGGACAAGGCAGCTAAGATCTCATCTCTCCAAGCCTCTCTCCACGCACGCGGCTCAACGACCAAACGCGCTACTATTGCCATGGTCGGCGACGGGATCAACGACTCCCCCGCGCTCACGATGGCCGATGTGGGCATCGCCATAGGAACGGGAAGCGACGTAGCCATTAGCAGTGCGGCATTCGTGCTCGCAACGTCGCAGCTTACGGCTGTAGTCACGCTCTTGGATCTCAGCCGCGCCGTCTTTGGACGGATTCGTGTCAACTTTGCATGGGCGCTTGTGTACAACATGCTTGCCGTGCCCGTTGCGGCTGGGTGCTTCTATGCGATTCAGACATCAAGTGGAGAACGCGTAAGGCTGGATCCGGTGTGGGCGGCTCTCGCGATGGCTCTATCAAGCATCAGTGTAGTGTTGAGCAGCCTGAGCCTTCGGACTCGGGTTCCTGGAGTGGGATTTCGCTCTCGCAAGGTTGACATGAAAGGGTAGTAGTAGGCACAGCGGTAGTGGTAGCGATAGGGGTAGCGGTATTGGCAGTAAATAGTGTAGCTGCACATTGTGCCATCGTTTAGATGGTACGAGCTCATCATCAACCTCGAGAATCTGAAATTCAGGGCGCTCTTAGATATGCACGCACAGCTTACTCTTGGGCTCTCACGCACCACCTCGTGCCATGCATATGCCACATTGACGATCTCATGCAGTGAACCAATAAACGAATTCTCGCAATCCCCCTGTCTCGAAAACTTTGCCCAATGTGATTCTCCTTCGATCCCGGCGGAGGTTACAAAGAATATGTCATTCACACCATTTTGGTTTTTTTGTTGGTGTGAGCTGTAAGTTGTTGCTCGCCCGAGGGATCCGTGTTCACAGCCACGCACGATTGAATGTGTCCTCCTCACTCAGTTGAGCGAGCCTACGGTGTTGCATTATGGAGCATTGCCGATTTATTATGTACATACATACATACATACATACATACATACATGCAAACAAAGCAAACAAATAAAAACATGGTTTAATTGAGCAACCTAAAAATATAACACGTTGAAAGTTGATGTAGATAAGAGGTCGAAACACGTTTCATTGCGAATGAAACATGACGAGGTTCATGCACTCATCAACCTCGTATCAAGTAAAGCAAACTCCATAAAACAAGCTCTACTCGTATTTGTCCGCCACCCGCATACGCAACCGTCTCCGTTATGGTTAAGTAGACACCCCCTGGCTCTGAGCTCCGAGCGCGCAATCAAGTACCTATTTTCACTTGAGTCATTCAAGAGAACTGCACTGCAATGTAATTCCATTCTCACAGCAATTGCATTCGGCGGTGCACGCAAATGGAATCTAGCTATTTGTTTGCTTACTTGCATCTCTCATCCTCCGTCTGACTCGTCAAAATCCGAATTCGAAGGATTTGACTGTTTGCGGGAGAAACGATTACGTGATTGGTCAAAGTACCAAGTAAGCCTGCCAAATTTGGTAACTGCCCCCCCCCCCCAAACTGTAGGGGAGGACCCTGTAAAGGCGCATCATCAGGCATAAGGAAGGGCTTATTTTAAGGCACTACCAAAACTGACTGACTTGAACACATTCATTCACTGTAAGAAAATGGCTTGCAGTTCACCTCGCAAGGATGAAAGAGGCACGGCACGGCATGGCATGGCATGGCACTATTCGCGACTCAACACTAAATTGGAAAGAGTTTGTAGCATATCGCCCGATTTGTACTGCAAAGGCAAGGTTCAATAATGCTAATAAGTTGTAATTTGGTATCTGTATTGTTCTTTGATTTTGTAGTTGTTGTTGGGCCCCCAAAGATGTATACCCCATTAAATAACTCCATGATCCAAATCCTACCAAAAATGTGGCAGTGTATGATGCCTACTCCTTATCCTAATCCTATTCCTATTCCTATTCCTAATCCCCCATATCATATATCCCCGATACCAATCATGGGGCGTAATACTTTGTAGAGGCCGTCAAACAACGTTGATACTGCGTAATCCCGAAACCATCCAACCTAGTCCCATGACAGTGACCCAATAGTAATAATACACACACCCCCTTATCCCCGGGGAGGCTTCTGTCTTTCATGCAAGCCACAATAAACGCCGGTCTTTCAGTGGAAAGACTGTAGAGTAGAAAAGACAAAGGGAATAATGCTGAGCGGCTCGTCGGCCAACTCTTGATGTATCTGGTTCTCTAAGAAAGCAGATAGAGAAGTAAAAAGATATAAAACAAATCAACAGCCAACGCCATGCCAAGGTTTCTTTTTCGATACGAAAAGTAACGGATGCAAAGATCGATATAGTAATGCCAAACAGCGGTCCGTGTAACGCCAAGACTATGCATTAGGTAGATATCAAGCGCGTGCCCGATCGTGGGTAGCTAAGTATTTATCGCACAGCGACGCTACCTCCGAGAAGACGACCCCACATGCCGCGCCTTGAGCGCTGCTGATGCTGATTCTGATGTTGCTGCTGCTGCTTCTTGGTTGAGGTCTCATGGAGTTGCTGGTACTGTTGGTACTCATCGGCAGTGATCTCATAAGGAAGCATGCGGCCAGCAGGCATATGAGCCTTGGGGTAGTCAACATCGGGAACGATCTGGACGGGTGAGTCGTAGAGGCTGCCCTGTTGAGACTCGTAGTAGTAAGGCTCAGGCTCGGAGGGCTCGAGAGGGGTGGTAGCTTGTGAGTAAGCGTGGCCAGAGGAGACAGATGAGGCGTAAGAGCTAGAAGAGCTGCTGTAGCTGAGACCAGGAGGAGTGAAGTTGCCAGAAAGGTTTCGTGCGTGCTCGGGTGTTGATCCTCGAGAGCGGGAGTGGCCGCGAGAAGAGGCAGGGCTGGGGTATCGGGTGGAGGCGGCATAGAGCTCCTTCTGTCGTCGCTTCTCCTCGCGGTGTCGGATCTTCCTGGCATGTCGCTCGGCAATCTTGTGGCGGAGGGGCTCAAGGAAGTCGTCGAGATCACGGTAGAGGTCCTCCTCGGTAATACGAAGATCCCATTCAAGAAGGAAGAGAAGCTGCTTCTCCATGAGGTTGACCTCAGTGCGGCTGAAGCCAAAGCTATAGCACTCGGTGGTGATGTGGCTGTAGTTGGCCCAATGCTTGTTCTTGGGTGAGCTATCGTTGAGGTACTTGGCTGAGAGAATCAAAGCAGCGAGGAAGATGCGGTGGGCGGTACATCGTAGACCACGAGCCATGGGCTGGAGCTTCGACTTTAGGCGACCGAGGTAGACCAGTGTTGACATGAGAGTAGGGACCTGGACGTTGGAAGAGACGACGAGCTGTGTGATGAACTCCTCAAGGGTGGGGAGAGCTCCGTCTTCGGACCGAACGGTTCGGGGCTCAGGACTCCTGGGGGGAGTTGGGATGTTCTGGCGAGGCTCGGCGGGAGCGGGAGGCATGAGAGTCGAGTCGCAGGCAATGACGTTGTGGGCGGCTTGGGCGAGGTATGCGATCATATCGCGACCCACAGGTTGGTAGACGAATTGGTCCAAGGCGGTCTTGTTGAGTTCCTCCATGGTGAGGTATCGTAGTGATGTTGCAGAAGCCATTGCGTGTATGTGTATGTTTTGAGGGAGAGGAGGAAAAGAGGTCGTATAGGTGGATGGGAGAGGATGATAGATAGAGATATACTACACGGGAGGGCGGACCGTGTGTAAGTGAAGAAGGTGGGGTGAGGTTGAGATTGATAGGCCTAGAAAGAATCGACAGGTCGTGCGTGAACCTTGGCCTATTGCAAAAGCAGAGCAAAGCAAAGCAGAAGCAAGAGCAAAAGCAAAAGGCAAAAGGCAGATGATTAATATCTTGATTGAATGTGACTGGAAAGAGGAACCAGGGGTCAAGCCAGATGAAGGTGCGTGAGGATAGATATATCAAGAGATCAGAGGCTCATGTGAGGGCCCTAAGAAACTGGCTTCGTAAGTAATGGAGCTAAGGGTGACGTTTTGGGTGTGAATGTGGAGGATGGATCATGGAGGGGGGGGCAGGGGCGTGTCCTTTGGAGGCTGAGCGCCGCGTCTGTCTCTAATGCTAATGCTAAGGCTCGCTGGAAAAAAAAAACTCCAAGCCCGACAGGGGTTCACAGCGAAAGCGAGCCCAGTGCCATAAGCGGGCTAGGCTGGGCTGGGCTGGGTTGGGGTGTGCAGGGTACAGACAGGTAAAGATACAGGGGGGGTCACTCACTGGGTCGTAGGGGAAGACTTAGTCGGAGAGATGTCTCGAGACTAGGTCAGGTCCAGTTATTCAGTGGACTGCAGCGAGCAATGCAACTGACTAACAAGCTGCTACCGGGGGCGGTCTGGCCGGGAGGGGGGATAAATGCTGGTTCGTTGGTGATAGAGCAAGATGCCACTCAAAACCCTGAATACCTTGGGTACTTCCGGGTGGCGAAAGAGAGCGAGCGAGAGCAAGAGAAGACCGTGGCTTGGGAAGAAAAGAAACCTCAACAGTAACAGAATGATGATCCCTGTACTGCGTATCTTTGCGTTGCGTTGCAGAATGCGGCGTAGCAGGTAGCAAATATGACAATGTCTCGCCGGTTGCCGTGCTGCGTCCGTCTCGGTATTGGCTATGTCTCAGTTTTTTCTTGTTCGTTTTGCCGAACAACGAGATTGTAACTGGTTATTGGACTAGTAGGTAGGCGTTTGTTTTCAGAAACGTGCCGGGGGTCCTTTGTTTCGATTGACTCTGATATTAATTAAAATGCCAGAAACAATTAAAACCGAAAAGCAACCAAGGTCCAGGTCCAGGTCCAGATGCGTGAAAGGTACCGGGTGATATGTCGCTGAGAACTGATTGCTTCTGCCGGGTACGGGATAAGGCGTTCGAGGCCCTGCGTTTGGCACGGCGATGAGCGAATAGCGGAAAAAAGAAGATCGACACCTTTCCAAAGCCGTTCAGGAACTGCTCGGACGGGAATAAGATGAAGCGATTTAGACTTTGTGTCGCTGTGGCTTGAAGCTCGATCTGGGCGAGATGCGAGTCTAAGTTGACAGCTGTGGGGAGGGGGGGACTGTCACTGAGTGCTCTGGAGTGAACCGAAGGAATGGTGGTTAAAGTGAATGATGATGAACGAATAGGTACTCGAGATGACTGAGTTATTTGAAATAGGTGACGTGAGTGGATGATGTCCAAGGTTAGCCGATAGATCAGATCAAGATCGGTCGGTCTATTGGTGTAGTAGTAGATGTTGATGGTGGTGATGAGATCTGATGAGACGAGATGAGATGAGAGGAAAGGAAAGCAGAGTTCAAGAGTTATATAACCAAATGATGATATCAAGACCGGCTTGACAAGGGAAGGAATATTGGTTATTCGGTTCTTGATTAATCCAGAGGGTCAGGTTGGACTGGAATTTTAAGATTGCATACAAAGGGAGAGAGCTTGCACCTCCGCAGAGTATTGAGTTGAAGGGAAGGGAAGGGGAGGGTTGGCGAGCCTGCACCAAACGAGAACCGATCGATAGTTGCTTAGAGCGGGGG